ACTGTAAGAGTTCAGCTACAATACCGACACAGTTTAATCATTTGACTCCCTCATTATCAGAACAAGACATGGACATTATCCTCAGTTGACAGTAACCCGTGAAGGTCCGGGGTTAGAATGAACCTTCAGTAACCCATGCCTGTCGTAAGAGGCGACTAACGGGATCGGGTGATCAGACTCGCTGACTTGGTTGACACATGTCATCGGTTCCCAATTGCGCATATCGATGCTCATGCTGTTGATCACTGGATTGTCTGGTCCAAACCCGATTATTTACAGACCGCCGCCATATAGCTGGAATATTGCGGCGTAAAAATTCACTCAGTTGAAGTAAAGGCTGGGACGAAATATCACAACAACTACCCCTTTAATTGTTATATAATGTGATGGCGAACTAAATGTATCACTGTAAAACATAGCTGTTCATAGTATTTGTTCAGAAAGCTCATTTATGCTTTCTGGAGTCCGATAAAGCAGCCTTTCCAACTAACTTGCGTTCATTTAAACGACAGGAATTTGAAATAAAACTCTTTATGTAATTTCAAGATTAGAAATTTGCCTGTCATCAAAATTTAAATCTGAAGTTATCTTTTAGATTTAAACACGGATCATGTAATCAAGAAGGCAATATGAGATGTTCAGTTTTTTCTTGACTTGGAAAACTGCTGGCTCAGTGTCTTGGTAACCAATAATGTTCTTTGAAATCACGCGTGATCTTGATGAAAGAGAACTATTCACTTTCATTCCTGGTAACTCGAGAATATCTGCAACATGTTTTTGAACAGTTTTTGTTATTTCAATGACGTTTCATGTATTTGCGGCGTAGGTAGAACAGGAGACATGTTGGCATTTTGAAAATGTATACTCGGCGTCATTAATAAAGGGTCAATTTCTTTAAAGTTGTAAAATCTTCGTTTTTGTTTGAAAAATATACAACTGAATGTTTTACAAAGTCTTTTTACAGTATGAAAAAACACATCAGGCCATTGAAATGTCATTATTACGTTCTTTAACGTCCGATACATTATGTTACACATGGCACACTTTTATTCAAATTGTCAATATAGAAATCCACCTGCCACTTAATGTCAATGATTTGCGCGTGCAAGTCGCTCTATCCATGGAGAGTGGAGGACAATACAAAATTAATGCATTGATGCTTTTTCACTGTCGTTCACGGTTCGGGTCCCTGCTTGAGATCGCAGCTTAAAATGAAGGCTATAGGCCTTTTGGAATCTGGTCAAACGCACCGGCAGGTTGCTGTCCGCTTTAATGTGAGTCAGAGTGCTATTGGTAGACCGTGGCAGAGATTTCCAGCCAATGAGTCCCCTGGAATATGCACGTCGACCAGGTCGCCCCAGAGTCACAACAGTCTGAGAAGATAGGCACATAATTAACACTGCGTTACGTAATGTTGTTCAGATTCCTTAACGCAGCAGATCTTCAGACAGAGCACAATTTTAACAATGTAAGGATATCCAGGAGCACCGTTGGTCGACGTTTAAGGGCAGCCGTACTCCGCTGTATGCGACCTGCAGTTCGTCCACCACTAACACCACGTCACAGGTAGGCGCGTTTGAGATGGAGTAGACATCATGGACGCTGGAATCAACGTCAATGGCCTCTTGTGCTCTTCACAGATGAAAGCAGATTGAATTTGTCCTTCCAAGATGGTCGGCAGAGGATTTATCGTCGGAATGGAGTGCGAATCACAGATGCAACTGTGGCCACGCACAACCGATTTGGCGGGGGTCTGTCATGGTTTGGGCTGGGATAACTGCTACTGGACCTGCTCCACTGCACGTGGTCGACGGTAATCTTACCGGGCAGCGTTATCGGGACGAGATTCTGGCTCCTATAGCAGTAACCATTCCTGCAAGCTATGCATCGACCCGCTTTAGTGCGAGACGACAACGCTAGGCCTCATATGGCCACGATTGTCACTGAATTCCTTAGGCAGCACGGTCTGGCCGATGGTGTGGCCAACATGCTCGCCAGCCTCAACCCAATTGAGTATGACTGGGATGAACTCGGTCGACGTGTGTACACACGTCACTCAACACCAGTGGATCTCCCAGGACTCTGCAGAGCTCTAGTAGAGGAATAGAATGCGATTCCGCAAGCTCTATCTATGAACTTGATACGGGGCAAGTGAGCGAGTTATAATTTATCGCCACATCGGCAATATTTCAGCCATATCGTGACGAGAACAATTAATAATTATATTAGGGATCAATAAAATTAGAAAATATATACCTGTTGACGAAGAACAGTAAAACTACTAGTGTCTCACAGATATCCATTTAAACCTAGTAATTAAATCTAAAACATTTTAACTAGAAATGACAATACAATGTACAAACAGGCTATATATTGCCAACAACTGAATGACCGAGTGCTTCATGTTTGTCATTTTCATTTTGGGGGGTTGGTCTATAGAAATGATGTTTGCTAGTGATGTTTGAACTTTTTGTCTGCGTGTCACGATGTGTCACGTTTGTCAACACAATAAACATTATGCTGACACTCTTAGGTCCATTATTTCTGAGAAACTTTTATTTACATGTGCTATATATCATTTGACCCTTCATTTATAACGCCTGGTATATATCAGACTGGTAGGTAACTGTTTATTATTGTTAAATGTATTTCTGCAAGAAGGTGCCTGTTAGTCACTTAGGGATGTTATTGGGATGTTACACCATTTTTAACAATAATCCTCGATTGTGGGAACACCACGACCGGACTCCAGACATTAAACCTGTGTACCGCCATCGAACCTTTGCCATTGTTTTACCATTTGGACTCCCCTAACGATAAATCGGATCCGGCGATTTGAGTAATGTTTCTGAATGACGCCTAGCATGCTGTTTCAGTTGACAGCATAAAATAACCCTCCTCTGTTGTCATATTTGAAAACATACTTATTTAATATATTCACTGAATGGAACGCAAATCTAATATCTTGTCGGGGAAATGTGTCCTATGCTTCAGAAAGCAGTGATATAAGAGGCCCAAGAGACCTGTGCTATTTCTCATCCACACAATTGTAGACTGATTGATTGGAATTGTGCAACACCAGGTCAATCTGTCGTGGTCATAAGCGACCGTAAGGTATCATTCAAACCTCTTCTGTACACCAATTAAAACTTCTTAGCAGGTAGGGTAACACTTCTGAAGACAAAAATAACGATTCTCGACCCCTAATGCATTGCTTTAAGGGCTTTAAGGCGTAGCCTAAAGGTTCCAGACGTTGACTCGTAGAGCCGATAACCCCGGTTCTGTTCCTGATATGATCACATTGCGTTCAGTAGATTGGAAGTGAATGTGTCACACTCTCACATTACTGAGGTAAGAGAACGCATCTTAGATGAGATATGGGGTGGGATTTCAGTTTATGTAAGTTGATGGTTGGCATCAGCAAATGCTACTTGCAAAGTAGTTCCATTAGACTTTTTAACTCTCATGGTCTCCATAAAATATGTTTATTCTTTGCTCCATAAATCCCAGTGTGAGATTCAGGTGTACGTCAAACTATGCTTGTCGTCTTAGGTTTAGTTACTGAGATTGCGTCTCAATAAACTACGACCTCGTCGACAGTTTCCCATCAATCCCATACCTTAACATAGACGGTACCCTGGTCCAGACTTACATACAACCAAGCTGCATGGGGTTTTAATATTACTTAGTGGGGCATGAAGGAACAACACACACACACACGCACACACACACACACACGCACACACACACACACGCGCGCGCGCGCGCACACACACACACGCACGCACGCACACACACAGAGTGTACTCCGCCGCCATATAGCTGGAATATTGTTGTTTCTGGCGTAAAACTAAATTCAGTCACTCACGCTGTGTACTCGATCTACACAATGATTTAGTGGGTTGGTTAGTTATTTAACGCCACACTGAGTGGGGGAATTGACTTTGTGGGGAAATGACTGGATCCCCTCAGCAATATTCCAGCTATATGGCGGCGGTCTGTAAATGATCGAGTCTGGACACTCCAGAGATCAGCAGCATGAGCATCGATCTACGCAACCGGGATACGATGACATGTGTTAACCAAGTCAGCGAGCCTGACCACCCAATTCTGAAGACCAATTCTAACCCGGATCTTCACGGGTCTGTACAGATCTCGTAAATTTGAGTACCGTGTGTGTATAGATTTACCAATGTCCTGGTATTTACTGTTATGTCTCTTTTCATTCAAATTTATATTTAGCATTCGTCTGGAGGACCGGGTTCTTGGAGTAATTGCTTCAGTGCAACAGAATTGCTTCTCGTCGCATCGGTCATATTTCACTGTACTGCATCAGTTACGATGTCATCACTATGGAATCCTAGCAGGGACATTGTCGCATTCCCACTGTTGTAGTAATTTCTGTATGTAATCAATATTTCAACGAAGCGTGACAATGCTTAGCGACAAATGGCCAAAATATCGCATTGACTGGCTTTAGTTAATTTTGACACTTTGCTTGTTTTGGTAAGTGCGATAACGCGGCAACGCGACAGTGTCCGTTATTGGATTACATATATTCCCTCCTTAATCATAATAAATGTTTCAGTTCGTTCTGTTGTAAAACAAACAGTCCAAAATATCAGATTCCAATGTATTCGATAATTCGAGTTTACAGTGATGGCTGCATCAGCACGGTTATAATGATGACTATACATTCAATGATTAACAGCGGGACGATCGTTTCAGTTGTTTCATCTGCGGGAATGAAACAACACTGCGCAGCGAAAAAAGAGCTTTATTTGCCCGATGCATCTATGACGCAATTCCAAATATCTAAGACCACATTGGTAATCAGATTATACACGATGAAACACTCCGAAATCCGCAAAAAACTCGATGCCAGGAGAGGTAATTTGTATAAATCAATTATTTTCGGTAAAAGTAGAAAACTAATTTTATCTTTTATATAATGTTATTCTATTTCGTCAAGTATTCCAATAAAGCCACATCATACGCACCTGTGAATTCTTTTGACTTTCTGGATATTGTGCAGAAAATTAATCCATAAGCCGTTCCTATGGTAACAAGTGGAATGACAAACATAAGCAGTAGGGAGGCGACGGTGTACAGCTGGCTTTGCCACTCTCCAGCGTACGATCCGAAAGTTACACACTGGTAAAAGTCTTCAACAAATGGTCCTCTTTTCACGTTGAATATAATGGCCTGGAACGAGAAAGGAAATATGTTGTTAGTACCACAAACATTAACGACACAGATGTTGGACTTCTAAACTGCTCTAGATTAAAGTACACTAGTGGCATGCATACTCTCTTAGCTCACCTGGCTAATATTCAAATAAGCGTATGTCACAACCTGTCGTCTCCGTTGTCGTCTGTAGGCGTTTTTCTCAACCAATAATGCAACAGTTTGCGTCTTTGCAAATAAGGACACCTGGATTTTATTAAGCGGGTGGAATTTATGTTCACCGCGGCACTAGAAACACACATTTCTGACCTTTACTTGTTGACTCGTTTTTTAAATGTACTGCAAAAAAAAGAAATATATGATTGATAGTTTCGCTTAACTTGTTTCGTGATGTTTTAAATTTGATTCAAGCTTGACACACTGACAATACCCGAATTATCGGTGCATTCTTGTCCATTCATATCTACTGATAATGCTTGACCGATGCATGTACTTTGGTTATACAAACGTTTCAACCTGTGAGCAATGTGAAACTTTCAGAAATGATACAGTAACTGGTTTCATTGTTGATATGGGAATATTAGCAATATAAGACGCAGGCTAGTTAATGTGCACCTAGTTTAAGTACTAGTTAAGTTAGTTAGCTGCATTGATCCTTTTAAAATTAGATTAGATTTAAGTATAATAGTTATTGGTGTTTAAATATATCTTAAGGGAAGAAATACAGTTTTAAAAACGTTTATGTGACACCTTAGATTCCTGCATTTGGCTTCCAACGATCTTTAAAATTAATCATGATTTTGCTGATGGCCGCACCACCGAGAAAAATATTGATAAAAGAGCCTTCTTTCGAAAGCCCAAACGAACATTTAAGGACACTTCAAATGCTGAATGCAGATCTTTCCGCAGAAATCTTGCTGGATAACATTATCAGGAGATCTAAACTTCAGTAGCCCTGTCTTGAAGTTTTCTTTCATAGCGAAGGTATCGACTTTCAGAAACATTGTAATTACATAGGGACGTATCCTTGCAACGGGAATTTTTAATGAGTGCCTGATCTTTCAAGTAATGACTACTCTGGCTATTTCCAAACTTTATGAAAAGCCCAGTCAAACTATAACGATGGATATCGAGTAATTTGGATAAAATGTGTTTCTTTATTAAATATTTAGTGTTGTTTTTATTTCAGTGCTTTGATATGTAATTCTATCTTTCTAAATGCATACCAGTTTCACATATCAGTAACGTCGAATGCAAAGCACATAAATAAAGATTAGGTACCAATCTGAGAAACCTACTGGACTCCTGGAAAATCAGTCATATAAGATTGCTCGTCAAATTACATCGTTGATTTATCACAGACTTAGCTTCAAAGAGGATTTATGGAGTTTTTCGGTTTTTATTTCGATTAATTCAAAGTAATGTTTATGCGAACTCATGCCATACTTGGGTAATGTAACAGGGTAGTCCTCAATCTTCTTTCAACGTCCAAAGAACCAATGAATATTTAGTTTTATGTCAACTCATCAGACAAAGATACTGTAATGCACAATTCCATTGCCATGTTTACATGAATATGTCAGCTGAGGCTAAAAAGGGTTCGAGGTCGCATCCAACTTTTTATGCGAGCCCATTGAGAGCTTAAGTTGAAAACAGTACCCAGATAAGGCAGACTGACCCAGAGTGAGTGAGTGAGTGAGTATGGTTTCACAATTTACGTATTCCAATATGACGGCTGGGGATACCAAAAATGGGTTCACAGATTGTACCCATGTGGGGAATCGAACCCTGATGTCCAGCGTTACGAGCTCACGCTTTAACCACTAGGTTACCCTACTGTCCCCTGACGCCAGACGTTCTCTCCACAACATCACGAGGGCGGTCCTCACAGTATAACGACAGCTGGAACTTTTACACTAACCGGAATGTGTTAAACTGAGTAAGTGAGTATGGTTTTACGCCACTTTTAGCAATACTCCAGCAATTTCACGGCGGGGGACACCAGAAATGGGCTTCACACATTGTACCCATGTTGGGAATCGAACCCGGGTGTCGGCGTTTCGAGTGAACGCTCTAACCACTCGGCTACCCACCGCTCCGGAATGTGTTAAAACTGCAAAGGGTTATAAGTTTAGCTTTTTTATGTTTGAATCCCGTTACAGGAAAAGGGTAGATGTCAACACACTCTATGTCCTTTGAATTACCGCTTACAACAGTCGACTGCAAGATGATTGCTATGTCTCAGACGGTTTTAAAATTCTCCGTAGGATTCATCATAGGTACTAATAGTAAATAAACACACCAATAATAAAGCTGAAACCTTATTCTTTGTACGATTCCGATTATACTAGGTCATAAGTTTACGAATTGATCAAATCGTGAACAACAAGGGTGTTCGTGCAAACAGTCAATCTATCCCGCCCCACTGGAGGCACCTGTCAAGTGAGTCACAGGCAGGTTACAGACAGGTCAAAGGCACCTCGCAGGTAGGTCAAAGGCAACTCACAGGTAGGTCAAAGGCAACTCACAGGTAGGTCAAAGGCAGACCAAAGGCATGTCACAGGCAGGTCAAAGGCAGGTCAAAGGCAAGTCACAGGCAGGTCAACGACAGGTCAAATGTCCGTTTATTTCAAAATATTTATCTTTCAAATTCCCTTTAGTTTCAAGATATACACTCTCGGATTCACTCGCCCATCAGTTTACCATAATTCATAAACATCCGCAAGGTGTTTGTTATGAACAATTAGAACTGTTATATTAGAATCAGAAATATTCTCGACAATCAATAAAAGCATTTCAGTATAGGTATACAACCTACAGTCTTAAGTCAGCAGTATGATGCTATGTGATCGTTTTCAAGAGTGAAATCGTTCTGTGAAAAAGCGATCTTAGCGCAACGCATATCGTAGGCCTTTCTTAAAGTATGTTAGTTAGTATCACCGTACTAACGTCACTTTGTGAATCGGAAACCTGGACACGTAGTCATAACTGACATGTAGGCTCTTACGTTTCCTTATTATTGGTAGACCACACTACGGCAAGGGCGCATAATGACATTTCCGTACATCCGGGTTCTCAATCACATCGTGATGTTAGCTTATATAATATTATATGTGAAATTTAACATAAATAGTCTTGGACAGGAGTTGATCATAAACATCCTGCAACCCAGTTCAGGATGCATTCTAGATAATGAACACCAACTATCAAATGGCATCATGCAATACATACACGGACTGATGCAAGGACCTGTATTAACGATGAGAAAATTACTTATACATAGGTACCAGTTAAGACATATATGAACGTGTCCGAATGTTCTTATAAAATTATGTTTCGTTCACATACACACGACGCAAGCACGCGCGCACACGCACACACACACACACGCACACACACGCACATGCACATACAGACCTGTTCTTTTGCATGTATTTACGTGATGTAAGCAGATTCTATCCATGGCGACCCGTGAAGATCCGGGATAGAATTGATCTTCAGTAACCAATGCTTGTCGTAAGAGGCGACTAACGGCATCAGGGTCGTTGACACATGTCATAGTATCTCAGTCGATGCTCATGGTGTCGATCACTGGATTGTCTGGTCCAGACTCGATCATTTACAGACCGCAGCCATATAACTGGAATATTGCTGAGTACGGCGTAAAACTAACACATTCACTCACTCTATCCACGGCAATTCCAGTCTTCGTTGCGCATCGATTCGTTTGCAATGAGAAATGGGGTTTCTGTTGATCAACACTATCAGATTTATAGAATCAAACACATTGAGTTATCATATTGATCTCAATCAGACAGAGCAATAACCTTGCTTGAATAAAGTGGACATAGTTACTACTGAGATCTCCCGAGTCCAATTACTGTGGTTCATGTCGTGTGCTGTTTGCCATTGGTTATAATGTGTCTGAATACTTGTGCCAGAAAGTGGCTTTATTTCACGGCTGCCAATACATTTGACAACTACTGCAAATTTATCAGTCAAAAACTACCTCATGCTTGAAATACCTTGGCTTGGATTGTCCAATAAATTGGGATTTGGATGTCTGAGATTGTTTGGGTTCAACGTAAAGTGGTATATCTTCTGTAGTCAGCACTGATTTGTTTACATAATGTGGTAATGTTAAAACGCAGCGGCTATTTTCTGTTTTACGGAAGGCGTAAAAACCCCTCACAATTACTACGTTGGAGTTATGGCATGCATTTCACAGAATTGGAATACTCTGGTGTGAGTCTTCAAAATGCAGTTTCTTCGGAGTATACCCCTTCCTGCTCCTTGTATATTATTCATCTTGTCCTCCATATGGCCAAATTGCTCCAATCTATCGTTGTTATAGGAACCTACGTCAACAGCCTACCCAATCCTCATTCCGTCTCTGGCACAACCACCACTGGTCATAATGAACAGGTTTCACTCATCAGTCTCGCCTTCCCACCCAAGCCCATGGTTCTAAGTATGGTGATCTACCTTCAGTTGTTGGCGACCTATAGCCCGTTTTTATATTGTATTGTCTTCGTAAATAAAATAGTTTTACATGTTCATGCTAGTTTTAGACTCCATCTGTGATACTCCAGTTATTTTACAGTGCTTCGATGACTGATTATTTAGCAACTTAAATTTAATGTTTATGTAAAACATTTCTCGTCACTATATGGCTGAAATTTTGCCGAGGTGACGTTAAATTTTCTCACTCACTCACTCAAGCCTGCATTCCTTCTATCTGTCCAAGCTTCTATTCGCTATCGCTGGTGCTCCCCAATCACGCCTCTAACACTTCCATCTTTCCACTTTCTATTGTTGACGCTGTCCCGCCCAAGCCTGCATCCCTTCTCTTAAACTGTCCATGATCGTACGCTCTATCGCTAACGCTTCAAAATCTATATCTATATAACAGTGTCCGAGTTCTTACTCGTGCAAGCCAGCATTCTTTCATCCGAGCTTCTACGCACTCTTTTTTACGCTTCCCCACCCAAACCTGTATTCCTTCTCTACCACTGTAC